TCTAAGCGATTATTCTAATGAAAAAGAAAAAAATCACATTTAGGTTTTGGAAAACAGCCTGTTTTAGAAAAACTAAAACTAAGACATAATATAAATATTCACTAAAGGGAAATTATTTTAACTTATTATAATTTCTACATATTAGAGAGGGGAGGAAAATGCGGTATGTAGAGGGAGAAGACAGGTTCCAGGGCAAAATAAAAAGTAGGTAGAGATGTACCATTATTTCAATTTTGTGAGATACAGCAATTAAAGCCCTTACGTCATCACTTATGAACAATTATCTTACACTTTTAAGTGTCTATACAAGAAATTACCTAATTCATAAAGTTGACACAATAAAAACATATAAACATAAATATAGCATGTTTGATAATCCAAGGACTCAAATCACTTTATAAGTGAAATTTCTTCCTTGATAAAGTTGGTACTTTCTTATTTTCACAGAATCTATAATATATAGCAATGTACTTATTAAAAGAATGGGTATTATACACCACTTAAATATCTTTGGGCTAATTTTACATTAACATACAATTAGTATTAGGCAAATAGAACAAGTAAACCTTGTAACTTCTCATCTTTAGTCAGCAAAGGGGTTATCTGTACACTTTCTTATGTATAATGACTTCTCCATCAGCAAAAAAGGGAGAGTTGATGTGAGAATGAGTAGTAGCCAAGATCTTTTATCAGACATACAAAATCCTCACACAGTAAGAAATGAGGGCTAACAGAGTGAATCATCGTAACAGCCATAATTGTATACAGTATTAATTTATCACATACGTGTGTATATATATTAGAGAGTACATTTGAATTTGAATTTCTAATTGGATGGTGTCTACACAGATTTCATTTTTAATATTAAATAGTGTAGGAATGTCTGAAGTATTCATTCAAATAGGATGAAATAACTTTGGGAAAGTATAATTTTATTTTCAATTGTACATAAATCCATTATTTAGGTTTCAATGGTTACTAAATTTAAGAAGTTAGAAACAAAACTTTAAAAATTAAATTTTTATGCTTTTCAGTATTCTGCTGTGAATACTTTTGGTAGTCGCATATGGTAGGCTACAGAGAGATATGTATACATATGTATGTTGTATGCCTTTTAAGAGTTATTCTTTGAGGGTCCAAGTTACTTACTTAGTTTTTCAGGAATCATTGTAAAAAAAAAAACTGTATGCTTGTTACAGTTTTGGAAAGTATTATGAAGTTTTAGATAATACAGAATGGCTATGAAATGTTAGCAAACTATTAGAGTCTACTATCAACTTGATATTCTGGTGGAGCAGTTTCAAAAGGAAAAAATAAAGAACAGCTACTAAAGGTTAAGGCCCATGATAGCAACACATGTACACAATTTAGGGCAATCGTGCAATGTGGAAAGAACTGTTTGCAGTCTTTTTGGTCATATCCACAAATATAAACAGCATCTTTGTGAACCACAACTGCGGCAATGCAACAACATATTGTGGCCCAAAGGATTGAGAAAGGCCTACAGAAGAAATATTGGAGTAAGTCTATGAACAATGAGTGAAGTTTCCTTAGCCAAGAATTATTAGACATTAACAATGTTTGAAATTAGGAATTTTTGGAAAAGTAAGTCTATTTTCTACTCACTTTCATATTTGTGACTTGTGTATTTTCTATGAAAATAAAGAATATACATGGCAGGTATGGTTCTCAACCTTTGGCATGATATATCAGAATCATCCACAGACACAGAGCTTGCTAAAATGGGCTGGTGCAACAAGAATTTACACTTCTCTGTTCCTTTGGGATTTGACCATCTCTGGTCCCAAACTGTACTTCGAGAAACACTGGTCACTCAGGTCTCTTTTTCACTTTTCTCTAAAGGACAGCTACTCTAATGCCATTAGAGCTTCTGAGCCAGTTCTAACGGGAGAGTTTCTCAATATGTGAAGTAATCACATAAGTGACAAACAGTAGAACACAATACCAAGGAAACAGTGTAATAAAAAAATCTAATAAAGATTGTTAGTAAATTAGAAGATCCCTTTTGTCTTTGTCAGCTCCAACATCACTTTTAATTTCCTGACTTTATAGATGTAAGGGTCATTACTTCTTTGGAATCAAAGTCCTTAAGCTTTCCCCTTCATTTTTAAACTCTAGTTGTACTACAGAAAATATAACTGCTACAGTTTGGATATCTTTGTTTCTTTGTTTTGGTACAGGAGATTGAACTCGGGACCTTGCGCTTGCAAAGCAGGCAGCGGAACCACTGAGCTAAATCCCCGGCCCATCTTAAAACTCAAATACTGAAACCTAATCACCAGTGTGATGATTTGAAAGACGGGTGCACTAAGGAGTTCTTAGGGGAGAGCTGCTTCATCCCTTTTTACTACGCGTGCACACAGCAAGAAGCTATCATCTCTGAACCAGAGAATGAGCCTTCACCCCTGAAGCTGCTGGTGCTTTGATCTTGGACTTTCCAACCTTAAGAACTGAGAAAAAAATTTATGTTGTTTATAAACCACCCAGTTTATGGTATTTTGTTGCATCAGCCCTAAACCTGGGCAAGACAATTACCATCTTAACAACAAACTAAATTTATTTCTTAAAGTCAATAAAGGTTGATGTGTTGTTTTTGCTTTTCAAATAGAAAATATAAGGGCCGGGGATTTAGCTCAGTGGTTCCGTCACCTGCCTCGCAGGCACAAGGTCCCGAGAGAGTTCAATCCCCAGTACCGAAAAGAAAATATAGTGAAGGTAATTCTCTTTCAGAGAGAGACATTTTTATTCAACTGGTTTTTTTTAGGGGCTAGGGTGAAGGACTCAACTGAAATAGCACAAGGAAAGAAAGTTGCAGAATAAACCAGTTCCAAATTTAATAGGTTTTAGTTCGGGGTTTTCCCCTAGACACTGCAGATCATGTGAGTGATGAGGAAATTCAGGCTTCACAGTCTAGACTTGGTTCTACAAATCATAACCAAGGATAACTATACAACACAGATGTTAGGAAAGAGGCAGATTTTTTAAGGTAACCTGGGCAACACATGGACACCTACAGTTCCAAGGGTGAAGAGATGCAACAATGCTAACTGTCATACCCACGGGAATGGTGATGTCCTAGAACCAAGGGAGTAGTTTGTTGAACACAGTTCAGTGTCATAAACATCTGTCGAATGCCCTATGCATTTAAGTAACAGAACATTTTTGGTATAACAAGGCTTCTCTGCCTACACAGTATTCTGAGCACAGTGCCAAACAGCTATACTGTATTTTGGGTATTTTCTGCTTAATAAAATTGGAAGTAACTTGGTATGAAAAATCAGATTACAGTGTTACTACTGTTGGTAGGAACAGACTGGCTGCACAATGGGTCAAAAACTCTATGGTAGGAATAAATTATGGCCTATTGAGGGTCTAAATAAATCTCTAAATTTTAAATTCTAGTTGAAGGAATAATTTAAAATTTAAATAACTCATTCAACAAATGCAGAGTATCAGACACTACCAGGATGTGGAGACCAACAGTGAACACATTAGGCATGCACCTATGCTTCATGGATTACAAATTAGTGGAAGACACATATTCTCACAAGGAGAAAATTAATGTAAAATGTGCTAAATGGAAACATAATCAGAAACGTCTGAAGGTGGAGGTGGTTGGTACCATAAAGTGTGTACCACGGGAGAGAGCTGCTAGCTTGACTACTTGTATGCAGTTCAACTACTCAAGGGTAGCACTTGGTTCTATTAACAAATTACTCATTAGAAGCCTTATTTTAAAAATAAACTGTGTTCAACTTTTAATTCAGTAAAAGAAAAAAAAAGGTCTAGTTTTGAAGAATTCCTGTAATAGGAGGGAGAAAAAATTTATAAACAAGTGAAGGAGAAAAAACAGGGAAAAGCCAAAACATATGTTTAATGATTTTAGCTATCTTCCTAATTTCGATTACTATTTGTTTATGGTGAGATATTTTCATAGCTAAAGTATCTGCTTAGTATAGTAGAAAACTAATCCTGTAGGACTGTTATATGATTCCATCACAGGAGCGCCCTGGGCCCAAGCAAGAGAGCCAAAGATGAGGCTAATGAATCTGGTCCATTGCTCTTCTCCAGCAGGCAGCTGCACAGCGATTTTGCACAGGTCAAAGATAAAAGGCAACTGGATATGGAACCAAGTATTAACCCAAATAAAGTAAAGCTGTTGAACTTAATGTCAGGCCTCCACCTTAGTGGTCACTTAGTTTTGTTTTCAAGTTTTTATTTTGTGATTTGAAGCTTCGATCTTGCTAGCATGCTTTTGCTAAATACTTTTGTACTTGATCAGCTACAGTAGGTAGGAAGCAGTAACCGGGACATCAAGGATGTTCTAATTCTCTACTTTTTGGAAACGTGTTGTCTTCAATCATTGCCAATGAAGCTAAAAATCAAAACGGAATACAAGTAAAGCAACCTACTAGTGGTTTGGAGGGGATTACACACAAAGACTACTGAATAGGAAGGCAAAATAGTGAGACAAAAGTTACAGTATTTGGGAGTGACATGATGCCTTTTATAATCTGATGGGAAAAATTATATGCAGCTTGGTAGGAATCAAAGTACAGATAACGTTGGTTACTGTTTAGGATTACTAGCGTCAGTGCTTCCCCACCTTGCCTGACCAGCTTTGTCATTCTTTTCTCTACTTTCCATCCTCTCTCAACAACTTTTCCTTCAGTTAACCGGCTATGGATGCCAAATACGATGAGAAGCTTGCTTGGCAAACTTCCAGGTGTCGAATGCACGCACTTCTCACTAGAGGGATGCACAAACCCGTGCTCCTCTCCGGTCAGGCCGAGCACGCAGGGCTCCAGGGGTGCACATTTAGCGGCCGAGGCGAGGTCTACGTCACGCAGGCGAGGGCGCAGGCCACGGAAACGCTTACGACGGCCGTTGGGTGAAACTTCTGACGCTAAGAGGCCACTTTAAAGTGGCCCAGTGTTGAGAAAAACCTTTGCACTTCGGCTGAACCCGTGAGCACTCACCACAAACAGCTCTGTCGTTACCCTGCGGGGGATCGCCTCCGAATCCAGGAAAGCACTTCGAAAAAGCTCGACACGCAGGAAAACCTGTCCAGGAGCGCGGCGGAGGCCTGTAAGCTAGGACTCCCCCAGCAGCACCTTAGGAGACGCACCAGCTACTGCCCTTCAGCAGGAAGGCTCGCGGGAGCCCACACGTGGGAAGGGGGCTGAGAGACAGAGGCCTAACTCTCGCGGGATCTCCTCCCTCTGCGGTCGCCCCGGGCCCAGTCGAGGACTCGCGTTGTTTGGGTTGGGGGTGGAGTAAAGCAGAAGGGGGCGGAGCCAGTCGGGGGCGTCCCTAGCTTGTTGACTTCGGGGTCCTCACCGCGCGTCTGTCTGGCTCTCCGCGCATGCTCAGCTGCCAGGCTGTTCTGGAGGCTGCTCTTGTTTTGAGTCCTGGTCCGCGACCCGCCCCTCCCCCGGCCGGTGGCGGCGGCGGTGTGGTGGTGGCGGCGGCGGCTGGCTGCCTCGGAGCTCCTCGAGTCCCAGCGCACAGCTGACACGCCGCTGTGGCGAGCCGGACCGACCGCCGCGCCACAGGTAACGCCGCCGCCCGCGGGCTAGGGGTCGTGTGGTTGGCGCGACCGGGTGGGCGGCGGGGGCGCCGTCGGAGACGGGCCGGGGGTCGGGGGCAGGGGACCGAGGGCCCGGAGCTGGAGGCCGGGGATCCGGGAAGAGAGTGACCGGCAGGGCCTGGAGGTCGGGGGAGGGGGAAGCTGAGGGTCTGGGGGGCGGGGGTCCCGCAGGAGGCCGGGCAGCCCCGTCCTCGGCCGGGTCTGCAGCTCCGAGCGGGACTCCGGGACTGCAGGGTCCCCGCCGCTGGCCTCGTCAGAGCCTCCGTAGGCACTTTAGATCCTTTCCGGATCCACCTGGTGACTTTCTCTTGTTTTGGTTTTGAAGGAGAAGAATGCAACCTACGTAAGCTGGGGAAGCCTTTGGGGGCTGGGAAGGGATTCAAGAGATTAGAGCTGGCGCTCACATTTTCTTCCTTACTTTTTTGTTTTTGTTGTTGCTTGAGCGTTTACTACTGTTTGTGGTAAGTGTGGTGCATGTCGAATTGGTTGGGATATTTCAAAAACCGGCAGAGGACCCACAAGTAGAACCGGAGGGAGTAATTTTGCAGATCTCAAGATTTTTTTACCAATTACTTTGTTTTCATGTGTCTCTTAAAAAATTGAGTAATCATAGGTTCGTTTTTAATCAGAAGAGTGTAGGTAAGGAGGAAGTACGCTTTTAATAGTTTTTTTTTAATTACGAAAGTATTGCGTGCTCCTTAAGAAAAAATTAAGCTGCCAAACAATGAAGACAGCTTCTTTCCCTCTTGCCGCTGCCTCCTGACCACCAATAATTTCTCTTTTTGCTGCCTAGGATAACCAGACTTAAAGTGTATGTAGTAGCCTCTCAATATTTTTTCCTGCATATGAGGAATAGGGTTCAGAAACAAAACTAGGGAGATGATATATAGTATATCGCTTTATTGGCCACAATACATCACGGATTGCCCTCCATTTTATTCATTTTTAAAAAGCTGCACGGCTATTTGTTTATTGCTGAAAATGGTCTCCAATTTTTCAGTAATCAATCGCTTTTGAAAAGAGGTAGAGCCGATATTTTGAAACATATTGTGAAACCTTTAGAATGTCCAAGGCCAGATGTGATACTTCTAAACAGGTTGAGTAATATGTTTCCACAGAGTTTAATGGTAGTTTACATGAGGTTGGATGACTTCATATACCAGGTTACTAAGAGAATTTACGTTTTGTTTTTTGAGTGCATTTTTCAAAGTAAATTTAAATACCACATGGTCAGGTGAGAACATTTAGTTCTTAAACATGAAGCAGCTAATTCTTGAGGAAGAGGTAAAGTAGAAAACAAGTTGCTCAGAAGTTTATATTTAGGGGGGCACCAGGGATTAAATATTTTGATAAGTAAGCCATAAGAGTTGACCTGACAGAGGAAGGATGATGTTACATTGCTTATTATTAAGACAAAGCTAGCAAATCCCTATGACATTTTGTGTTTTGGGGCACAGAAGAGCTGAAGGCTTTGTTGATTAATCAGTAACTTGTACATGTATTTATTAAAAAGGTACTGTTGTGTTCATTTTGGTGCTAGCTTCAGGGGAAAACAGAACTGAGTGCACATTAGTCATGAACAACAGTCTGGTTCTAAACACATATAGCCTGAAATATTAGGATAAATTGTGTAGCATTTTATTTGGGAATCATGCTTAAAAGGAATCAGAAACATCCATGACATTTTAACTATGGTTCTTGGTAATATCCTCATAACTTTCTCAGAACAGCAACATAAGTACCATTCTCCCCATCCTATGTGTTAATAAACAGGTCTGAAAGATTAAACTGCTTAAGATCCTATTGCCTTTTTAGTAGTCGAGCCTGTTTAGACTCAGGTGGTGCTTAAGAAGCTGTTTTCTGTTCAGCCTTTGCTGCCTCCTGTTAATGAAAAACTCCTACAAAATTGATCTTAGTTTTATCTTTCAAAATATTTCTTACAAAAATAGACATGAATATAATCAAATGCATTGAAAATAGTGTAAAGGATCAGTAATCAGAAACTGTAAGAATATCTGTATCTTTTGCTGTTGTGGACCTGGAGAGTGAACCCAGGTCCTTGTACATGCTACTCGCCAGCCCCTTTTATTTTATTTTTCTATTCTGTTTTTGAGGCAGGATCTCCCTAAATTGCCCCATGCTGACCTTAAACTTGTGATCCGTCTGCTTCAGCCTCCTGAGTAGCTGTGATTACAGGTGTATGCTACCACAACTGGCTAGTGGTGTCTTTTTAGGTGAGGTTTCAGATGGTGCATTATTAAAATATTAAACGTTTTGATCTTATGCCCTTGGGGGGGTTGTGTTGCTTTAGATGCTTCTCCATGCTGTGCTAAATTTGGATATCATCTTTTGTAGCTTTCACTGCTCCTTATTCCTTACAAACAGGTGTATAATCACATTTTGTAAAATTTTGTGAACCTAGTTGAACTTTTTGAAAACTAATATGCTGAAATAATACAAAGAGAATCATAAAAAGTTTTTAAAAGATTGGTACTTGCTTATTTAATTTTTTGGTATTTTACTACTTTCTGTTAATAGTTTCTTTTTTAATATAGTATATTAATGTTTTAGTTTTCCCATAGATGTGGCACCTGGATAGTTTACTGCAAATACTGAAATTAGTAAAGTATGATTAGTTATAATATATATTTGAGAAGAAACCAATGTGCAATAAAAGATTTGAGCTTTCATTGGAAGTTAAGGATGACAATTGTAGTCATATTTAAGGGATGAGCTTGCCATTGATTATCTCTTGGACAACTTACATTGAATATTAGTGGGCTTTATAGTTATGTGATATAAAAGTATCTCATCCCCAGAAAGGTCTCTTTCCCATGTGGTGGTTGGTGCATGCCTGTAATCCCAGCACTCAGGAGGCCGAGGCAGGAGAATCTCCACGAGTTTAAAGTCAGCCTGGGCTGCATAATGACTTCAAGGTCAGCTTGAACTACATAGCAATACTCTACCCGCCCCCCCCCAAAGTATATTAGGATCCAACTTTCAGTTATGGAGGACAAGCAGGCTGGGAAACTAAAGCTGTGTGTGTACGGCAGTGCATTCTTGAAAATTATTGAAGGATTGTTGCTGGTGGAAAGAAAGAGAAAGATTTTTCTTTTTTCCAATTTAATGTGAAAATCCTTTTGGGGACATATATGTATGAATAGCCAAAAATAAATCAGCTGTTTTGCTTTTGTGAATAATGCAAAAACAAAAGTACCAGGGTTGATGTCTTTTGTTTAAAATCTTCCTTTTGTTTTGGTCAAGGAAAAGAACCTAAAATTCACTGTATACCTTAGGCAAGGGAGTATTAAATTCCTGCATGGATGTTTAAGAACTAATTTGTGTATGTAACAGCTGTTGTGGAATTACATGAAAGACCTGTTCCCAGATAGTTATGGAGTGAGAAACTAGTTAACATAGAAAGAGAAGCCAAAGTAGAGGTGGTGGAGAACCTGAGAATTGGCTGTCAGAGCAGGCAGAGGAAGAAGGAGTTACTTCAGAGTGGGTAATAAGTAGAATTAAATATGTGGATGGCTATCTAGGAAGACGAAAACTTGAAAGTTAGCAGTTCCTTGAGCTTTGAGGTAGTAAAAGAAAAACCCTAATTATAATTATCATGTTTAGCAGTGTCCTGCTGGGGGCTGAGTTGGAATAATTAACACTTTTCTGTAACTTACAGACTTTGAGAAACCTTCTGTAATAATCATATTATTATAACTCAGTTCAGTGTATAGCCTGAAGTTACACTCAGCGTTTGCAGAGCTGTAAACGGTCTGTCTCCTCCTGCCTTCTGTAAGCTGGAACCTCCAGGCAGTCCTCCTTGGGGTGTTTATACAAACTATTTTATTTCCTTACTGTTACATTAGGTTTGCTTTCTCATCTTCATTTTTAGAGCTGTTTTCTCTTTTGGTGGTTCCACATAGACCCAAGGTCTTAATTCTCCCTTTTTCTCAAACCTTCTTTGCACTCAGGCTCTCAATTCTGTCTCACTGGCCTCATTTTCTTCTCTAATCATCAGATTTGCCTTCTTTGTTCTCCTTGGTAGTGTTACTGGCTGTTATTTTGAATCAGTAGCTTTGTAAATTTAATTCTTTTCCTGATTCCTTGTTTATAGTATGACCTTAATGTTTTCTTGGTTATCCAGGCTCACAATCAAAAGGTGACCTTTGACTCTTCACTCTCTCCTTTTCTCAGTAAAAAAGAAATTGGGGGTGGGCAGTCATTTTAATTGCATTATAGTTCATTTGTCGGAAAATGGATGTACCTTGAGACCATAATGTTAAGTAAAATAAATCAGACATTGCCTGTTTCTTATTTCAGTTACCATCTGAATGCTTCATTCTCATTTAGTCCTGGTAATTTATGTTGGTAGATGGTATTATCCCACTTTACAGGTGAAGAAATTGAGCCTTCATGAACCTGAAGGATTTGATAGTGGAAAAAAGAGGTGAGGTTTGATTTCTCAGCATGTCTGCCTCTCAAGTCTGTTCTTGACTACTACCCATCTGCCTAATAGGTCCTCATCTGCTCAGGAATAAAGTCC